ACTACTAATTAAAAATGAAAATAAATTACAAATGCATTAAAATAATTAATATTTACTCTAAGCAGATGGTTAAAACTTTGAAAATATCTTATTTTCAAAAGTCAAAATAGTACATTGTATCGTATGAAATATTTTAAATAATTACATGGTTTTTCGTTTGCCATAAAAAGTGTGTCTGTCATTTTGTATTTTTTATAACTTTACTAGCGGTCTACCCTACCCCACGGGAACCGTACATTTTTCCAGCATAAAAAATTGCGTAAGTGTTATTCCAGACTCTATCTGTGTGCCAAATATCCAGATCCGTTCAGCCGTTCTGGCGTGAATGAGTGATTCAGTAACAAATATCCATACATCTAATACATCTAAACTTTCACATCTTACTAATATCTATTCATATAATAAAATTCTAACTGAGTCGAATCTATACAATAAATATTTTCTGGAAAATTTTATTCACATAGTCATTATTATCGAAGCAAAAGCTGAATCTATAGTTTTTAGAATTTTTGACTGTGTATATGGGAAAGTACCACGAGAAAACCACTGGACAGATATTGATGAACTTTGGTATGATGATAGCTGGTTGTCTGAGTCAACATTTAGGACACTTTTTACTGCGGGAAAATATATTATTTCTGAGAAATAGGGACGAACCCGTGCGAAGCGAGGGTGAGTCGCTAGTATTTTTTTAATATTAGTAAGATTTCAATTTTTTTTGTTGGGAAATTAACACACAGCACTATCTAGTTCCATGGTAAGCTACGAGGCTTGTGTTATGGATACCAGATAGTTGATACATTACACATATATAAACTTTAAATACATACATATTATAAATATAAACACCCATGACTGGAGTACAAACATTCGTGCTCATCACACAATGAATGCCCCCAGCGGGACTCGAACCCGCAACCGTTGGCAAGCAAGTAGGGTCACTACACACTGAGCCAAACATGTCGTCAAATCATTATTTAAAAAAATCAATCATTAATTATAAAAAAATAAATCATTATTTATTAATATTTTACAACTTATTAGTTGTAAAGTATTAGTATAAGTATTTGTATATTTGATAATGATAATATTAGGATACACTACGTAGTCTAAACGCCTTATGCTTTTCAACATCTAATCATTACAATCAACTTGTTGATCTAAAAGCACTGCTTTAGCTCTAAGCTCTAGGGTTAAATCTACGTGATTAAAGTACTAACGTAAGTGAAGCCAACCGTCGTTGCCAGTCTATTATTACTATATTTCAATAATCAATATATTTTGTGTATAGAATTAGCATATTAGTTATTATTGAATGTTAAGCTTTAAACTCCAGTGCAAATTAGTCGGTGGTCTCTTAGTGGGTGTCGTTTTGTTATTTACTGAAATGTCAGTTCTCATGAGGTGTCACTCTGTCCTTTAAGATAAATTATAATGCATAGAGTTCTTTGGGTATATTTCACTTTTCCAGTACATTGCTAATGCAGATTAATAGTTTAATACTTAGCAAGAAAACGAATGGTTTGTTAGATTATTGCAGAGGAGAAAGTTTTATACAATATCATATAAATAAAAATGAATGTTGCTAAGCGCAAAACTCGAGAACGGCTCGACCAATTCAGCTAATTTTTTTTCGTATGTTCCTTAACTCCTCCAGGTAATTTCTAAGAGATTAATTAAATTTCTATGAAATCTATTGTTAACTGCAACGCCAGCGTGTCCGCGGTCGTTGAGGGATTAAGGTACACGGAAAGTTTTAATAAAGAGAAAAAATATAAAATAAGATATATATATATATATATATATATATATATATATAAAACAAAGTCGTGTTAGTTACACCATTTATAACTCAAGAACGGCAGGACCAAATATAATGAATAATCCGGAATAGGATAATTAGTATTAAAACATCAGAAAAATTAACGAAAATAAAAATTATATGGCTAACGCTGGCTAATAAACAACAACAAATAACATAACAACACATAACAACATTAAATATTTTTTGGAAAATCTTATTGAAATAGACATTATTATCGATACAGAGTATGAATCTATAGTCTTTAGAATTTTCGTCTGTCTGTCTGTCTGTCTGTTACCGCATCACGGAAAAACCACTCGAGGGATTTTGATGAAATTTGGTATGATGATAGTTGGTTATCCGGGTCAACATATAGGATACTTTTTACCGCGGGAAAATATCTCATTTCTGAGAAAAATACAAAAACTGCATTGTAAGAGTATACTAATATGTAAAACGTAAGAAATTGTTTTCTGGTCACCTGAACGCGGGCGGAGCCGCGGGCAATGCTAGTTATTTATAATATCTATTTAAGACGTACTCAGCGACGAACCCGAGCGAAGCGAGGGTGAGCCGTTAGTTTACAATATAATGCAATTAAAGACTAGAGTTTTTTATTTATGTCTTTAGTTATACCAATGTACATTTTATAAAGTTTTTAATTTCCATATTAAAACGTTGTTTGTGCGTGCTACGATACGTCATATAAAAGGGCATAATTGTCGTCAAGACAATGTTACGTTGACATAGGAAATGAACGCTACATATTTCTGCTGCGTAAGTATTTACTTTGTTAGTAGTTTGTACATTTGCAATATTTTGTAAAATAAGGGTTTCATATAGTAGAATAACGAATATTGTATTTAAATGATAGGTAATTGATTTTTCAAAACAAAAGCCTTTTCGTTTAGCATCATGGAGCTTAATGTATTATACACGTATATTTAGGCATGAGGCTTGCTTTTAAGTTAGATTTTTGACTTAAAATAATTTTTAGCTATCAGTTTGAGACAATATTTAAATTTTAGCCTAAATTAAATTTTACATTAAATAAAAAAATAATAACGTGTGTGTGCACTTATTGTACGAACGTAAGAAGTTATACTTCTTTGGTGTAACAGAACAAAAATAGCTTAAGATTTCATGCCATATGTCACAACTCTCTGTTTGTAAAAGGAATGAAGCTAACTTCATCATGTCGCTTATTGGCTGTCGGTGTGCGCGCGCATCGTAAAAATTTTACTCTAATATTTTTTCCCAAACGTCCCAAAAGAAGTACTATAACTTCCAAAATTTAATATTATTATATATAGTACTGCAATTTTGAAATTATGATCCAGTCCATGTTTGGTATTATATACCAAAACTATTATTTATATAGGAAAATAAGATAAATTTTCTCAGAAGGCACCACTATCTTACCGTACCCTAGATCAGGGCTGAGCATTTATCAAAGTCCATAACAAACATAATTTATTGTGTGACATTATCAATGCTCGCACGTGTTCCAGTTATGCAATGTAAGTTCCTTATTTATATATCATTACTAATTCACCATGGCATTAGTTTGATTAACACAAAGTATAGTAGAGCTAGAACAGCTGTTGTCTTTGTTTTTATACACAAACATATAACACTACTACATATTATAAATGCAAAAGTTTGTGTGTCTTGTGTTGTTGTGCTCTTTCACGTTGAAATGGCTGTACAGATTTGGATGAAATTAAGTACACAGATAGGTTACTCTTGATGTATTTTAAGAAGTGCTTAGCACTTTGACTCCATGGGCCAAGGATTTCTACAGCAAATGGAATAAAAACATAAACATACATATTATAAATGTAAACATGACTGGAATACAAACATTCGTGCTCATCACACAAATGAATGCGCCCACCGGGACTCGAACCCGTGACCGCTGGCACAGCAAGTAGGGTCACTACGAACTGAGACAAACGTGTCGTCAAACTATATAAACCTTGTATAGTAAGTAACTAATATAATGTTTGATAGCTTTCATCAATATTATACTGATATATAAAGTTGAAAAGTTTATTTGCTTGGACGTGCTAATCTCTGGAACTACGAGTCCGATTTGTAAAAGCCTCTTTGCATTTATAGCCTTTTTCTGAGGAAGATTTCAGGTTTGACATAAGAACTTGAACATAATGGATTATGATCGGTATCAATTATTTCAAATCACTAATTTGAAATAATTGTGTAATTTATATATAAGCTTTATATAGTGCGACTTTTTTTATACTTACTCGTATAAAGCGGAACTAGTTCCATAATTGTTTTAACAAATGAAGATAGTGTTCGTTTGATAGCTTACATTGTATACTAGCCTTGTGCTGTGGGCGTGGCGATAGAGCGCGGCGGGGCATCTCGAACACCCTATGAAAAAATGATTTAGTCATAGGAGATAGCGGAAATTTATTTTTTCATTTTTAGATTTTAATGTTTTTTTAACTTTCAATTCACAATCTCAAGTAAATCTCTTTCGACCACAGTAATTTCGATTTGACACAAATTAACATATTTTTATATGCACATAATATAAAATATTTATTAGAAACATACTAACATATGTCTTCGACTCTGTACACTTTGATTTAAAGAATGAATAAAGGAGACCATTATGTTAATCATTCCAAGTCTCAAACATATACATATTTTATTATATTATTATTTGCTTTAAATATTAATTTCACTGTCACATATTAATTATATTTTTAAGTAATTTAGGTATTTTTATAGACATTTTCTGTCATTCCGAGTTGTAATTTGACCCAAAACATTAAAAGATAATTTTCTTTATATATATATATATATATATATATATATATATATATATATATATAAGGATTCTTATTTTTTTATGTAAAATTTTGAATAATTTTGGTTTTTGGAAATAATATTCATCTTATTTTAAGTCATTTCTCTACGCATTTTTACGATCAATTCAGCCATTTAGAGGAGAAACCATTAAGTTTGATTAAAGTGACATACAGTATTGTAACATCCTATAGTTTGGGCCATAGCATTCCATAACAGTTCAACAATGCACACAAGGTGAGGCAACCTGCCGAAAGGGCATATTCAACAGATATAAAACGTGAAGATCCCTGAAGACAGTATTCCATCGGCAGAGTTCAAAGTGTAATCGACTAACAGGCAGAAAACAAAAAATATTATGTCGAAACTGGTAAGCTATTAAATGTAGTTGCTTCAACGACAGTAGCAATTGGGCGATAAATGAGTACTATCAGTAGATACATAACTTTGATATAAATGTAAGGGTTAAGGTGTCGATCTTTTTCCTTTATTAAATGTATTAAAATAGTAATAAATATGTAATTAGCAATAAACATATGGTTTTACACAATTTTTCCTAAATATTATATGAGATATTTGCATTTTCTTATAAACTATTAATAGATTTTTGCTTGTATAAAATTTAAATTATAGCAATAATTAGATAAACATATTATGATGTACTATTTTTTAAATATTTATTAGCATATATTTTATTTGCCTGTCATTGATTTCATTATTTGTACACTTCAGATCATCTTAGTATCTATAGCAGTCGTAGCATCCGGCGCCAGACTGGACCACTTGGTGCAAGGATATGGTGGAGGCAACAGTGCACCTTTCCATTTCGAGAATGTCAACAACGGCGATGGAACTTACCGCTTCAGGTGATTTAAGAAATTACTATTTATGACCTACTATATCACTATATATATATATATATATATATATATATATATAAATTAGTATTATAGTCTATTTGGAGTAAATTCAATAATTAAACTTCAAAATATATTTTTTATTGATCAAATTTTAGAAATCAAAACCTGTGTAAAACAGGGACATAAGGCTTCATATTCTCTCCATATCTCTAAGACATACGAGTATAATCAATGAGTAGCAAAATATTATAGGGCTTTTTATTTTGAAATTGCGTTACATTATGCAACCATTAGGGTCTTTAGTTATGATTTATATTTACTTTTATTTCTCTTTCATTATATATTTGTTGATTTCTTTATTATTTTTTATACCAACATATAACGAAACATTAACTGATACTTTTCAACATTTATCTATACCTATGTACATATTACATATAATAAAATTGTAATTAAACCGAAATTAATCTACCGAATATTAATAGACTTCCAGCTTAAGACTAATCAAGTTTAATTGTATAAATAAAACTGTCTGTGGTCTTTAAAATATCGGTCGGAAAAGTACAATTGTGTTTCATACCATTTTTTAACATTTCACTGAAAACAAAGATAATTTTGCCGTTCCTAAACTGACAAAGTGGCTGAAAATATTTCATATCACAAAAACTACTTATCATATATTGCACAAAGTAATTTTCGTTAAGAGTATTTCGGCAGTTCTTGTTTCACAAAATTTTCTGATTTTTGACGCCATTTTATACAAAGCAGAAGGAAGTGGGCGACCAAATATCAATGTTTACGAATTTAGAATCATATAACACGGGTAAAATGAATATGAGGTTTGATAAAAAATAGTTTAGAAGCATTTACCTTATTTGTAAAGACATAATTTTACTTGCATACAAAACTCTCACTTATCCAATTTTTATATTTGAAGATCAGTATAAAAATTACAAAGATTTTCATTTGAAAATCCTTTCGGCCAGAAAAATATAATCGACTAACGGCTCATCTTCGCTTCACGAGAAATTAATATTAGTTAAATATAGCTTAATATTACTTAACCAATAGCTATGTATGCAATAGTAATAGAATTATTAAAACTTCTTCAGCCTTCAAATTTATAGTATTGCATATTATTTTTTATAGTATTTACAAATAAATAAAAAAACATATCTTTCCTGATTATAATATTAGTATAGAAGTGTAAATGTAGTATAAAATATATTAGTGTTAAAACGAAAAACGCAATATTATAAAATTAAATTTTAGAGAGGAACCTTTGTGGCATTGCTAACCTTCGCCATTTTTTTCAATTTTGTGTGCATGATGATTTGGTAAATACTAATATGTAAAAGCGTTTGGTTTTTGGTCGTTTGAACGCTGGTGGAGCCGCGGGAAATATACTATATATTCTTTTATAATATGAATACCCATTGTTCTTTAGTATAGTACTGTACAATTTAATATAAAAGTATATTGGCGATACCGAGCGAGGACAAACCGTGCATAGCTTACGTAAAGTTGAACAACTTATCAATTAAATGTCGAAAAGCTCGTTATAAAATAAATTTAGACAGGTCTTTCAATTAAAAGCTTTATATAAACAACGAACGAGGCATGCAAAGAGAGCTTTCTTTACTATTAAGAAAATCTGATTATGATGTATAGCATTTTTAAGGTTCTTCAAATGAAAATTGAAATAAAAAAGTTTAAAGCTAGTCTTTGTTTCCATTAACTCTTATTCTTCAACCAAAAACTCCGTATATGAATCTAATATTCTATTGTGATATTATTAATAAATACTTAAATTATCACATATTTTAAAATGTTACAGTTACGATACACCGACTGGCATATCCGCTCACGAGAGTGGTGCTCCTCGTGCTGCTGGTCCAGAAGGTCCAGCTGTGACTGCTGAGGGCGGGTTTTCCTACCGCGCACCGGATGGTCAACAAATATCTCTGACATACACTGCAGATGAAAATGGCTTCCATCCAACAGGCTCTCATCTCCCCACTCCACCTCCTATCCCGGAAGCTATTCTTCGCTCATTGGAATATAATAGACAACATCCGTCGTAAGTTCTTTTATATTTTTTAATGTAATAAAGTACGTCATATGGCTGTTTTATGCTTTTAAAACATATTAGCAGCCTATCTCGTCTTTTACCAAGTGGATCTTGCCACCCTTTTGAGATTAATTTTCGTAAATCTCTTATTGACGCATACCTATGTTATTATAGGAAAGATTTTACGAAAATTAAAAATTAACCTTTACGATTGATCTGACAATATTATAAAACTACGAGTAAGTTTTTGTAACTATACTGTACCTATGAGTTATTGAGAAAGGTTACAGGCTACCTAATATCATTCTAGGGAGCTTGTCATACCTTAGGCGATGACAAATTACTCATAAATAAAATACGCAAGCTGAGCCGTGTTAAGCTACTTAATTATATATGAGTCTGGTGGGTTTAATTATATTATTTCATAATATTTGATATTTTATATTAAACCATCTTTTTCGAAATCCAATAAGATAATTTTTAACCGACTTCCCTAAAAAGGAGGAGGTTCTCAATTCGTCGGAATCTTTTTTTTCTCTTTTTTATGTATGTTCACCGATTACTCGAAGACGCCTGAACCGATTTGGTTTTTTTTTTGTTTTTGCAAATTGTTTAATCGAACAAGTTGTTAAGAAACTTCTAACAAATTACCTGCTCATTACGTCTACACTAAAAATATACAAATAAAAACTTAAAAAGTTTTTATATTTAAAATATATTACTTAATTTTATTATTTTATATGGATAAAGGATAGAATTGTAGTTATTATGGCTAAGGTACACGGCGCGCCCATTCTAACGAACATCTCTACCTTGACGTAACAAATAAGATTTGCATAACTGAAACATTTCCGCTTACAAATATAATAGTCTTACTATGAAACACAGTTTACGGGTGCAATTGTAGTAACATCTGCATTCATTACAGCAGCAAATGGATAATGGTAGCTTAATATTATGCAAAAGAGAAGCTTTTGAACGTAGAGCAAGTTTAATGGAAATACCTTAATTATTTTGGCACAATAATTGGTAAAGATAGTACCTAGATAGAACCTTATATTAAAACTAATATTGTTAACAAATGTTTGTTTGTCATTCTTTCAAAGGGTGACAACGTGATATTTTAAATAAGAGAATAACATTTAGAATTTCTACTTTTGTTTTTAAAGTTAGATTTATAAATATATAAAAAGTTATATAGAATTACTTTTTAATCATTCAAAATAAAATTTATCGATGTGCCATAACAAAAATTGGCTACAAAGTATTGTTGTTAAAAAAATAGATAGAACTTGCGTTCGTCTTAAAAACTGTCTAAGAAAGAGCGTAAGAACATATTTATCTTTAAATCGATTTATTTCTCTCATATTCAAAGAAAACTTACGATTTTTGTTATCATTACAGGAACGAAGGCTCGTACAACGGCCGCAGCAGTTATTACTGAGTTGTATGTTCCGTACCTCAAGAAACCATGCACTGTGATATCGTCAAACGTATTCGAATTATTTATACAGCAATTTAACTGTGAATAAAGTTATACTGAATAAATATTTTTTTTATATAAATATCAGTTTTATAAAAGTAACTATGTATAGTAAGTTCTTTTTAACCGACTTCCAAAAACGAGGAGGTTATCAATTCGTCGGAATCTTTTTTAAAATTTTTTTTAATGTATGTTCACCGATTACTCGAAGACGCCTGAACCGATATGGATTTTTTTTGTTTCAAAGGGTATTATACTTCTTAGATGGTCCCATATAAATATTATCGAAATCGGTAGAGCGGTTTTTTTAAAAATCAACAGTGAATATTTTTTTTAAATAAATTGCTTAATCGAATATGTTATTAAAAAACTTTATTCTTACAAATTACCTGCTTATTACGTCTACACTAAAAATGGAAAAATAACAACGAAGTCGGTGCCAGTCTACAATATTTTGAGATATAAATATCTAATAGGTAAATATGTATTTTACGTATCGAAATACATATATTAGATTTGCTTTGCATCGCGGCTGGCACCGACTTCGAAAATATCTGATTAAGTATCTATTCTAAATGAAAACCTCCGTTTAGTTACTTTTTACATTTTAGTGCCCGGAAGTCGGTTTTTATTTTTTGTTAGAAAAAGTTTATTTTTCCATTTTTACTAGTTTATATCTATACTATTATTACTACTAATTCCTTTTAATAAAATATGCAACCCGATTCGATTGACAAAGACCTCGACCACCCTGAGCGTCGCTCATAAGTTTTTAATCTTTTAAGATATTACTTGTTTGTGTGCTATAGTTTAACTACTAACATAGTATTATTTCATTTGTGTTTATCATCAGAGAACATGTAATTTATGTGTAATTTACAAAGCCTCTATATTATTGTGAGTATGTCTCATCTTCTTAGTTCTTAATACTTATTAGTTATTCGGATCAAGCTTTGGTATTATTATAAATGAGATTTATGAATGAGTGAGTGTGTGTTTTTTATCTACTTTGCTTGACGAATTTGAGTGATATTCAGAACGGAGGTAGCTTCTTGATGCATGTACCACACAAGCGCGTACGAAAAACTAGTAGGAAAAAAATAAATAAATAAATTAAATCAAAATAATATTCAGTAACCACCCCTAGATTTAAGAACTAATGGAAATACTCAACTTAATTGTATTTAACAAATTTATATTCTTTTTTTGGTTACGGCTGTAATGTACCTACCTACATGTATCGGTGATTCAAGTTAAAGTATCATCACAAATGACGATACTATGACTCGGTGCCTCGGTAGTTAAGTGGCTATCAAGTAAGGTTTCAGATCTGGAAGTCCTAGGTTCAAGTCCTGGGTCGAGCCAGAGCCAAGTTTAGTTATTGGGCCTTTCTATTAAGAAATTCTCAGTAACATCCCGGAGTTGAAATGTTTGCGGTGTTTCAACCACGTGCCTCAGAGAGCACATAATTAAGTCGTCGGCCCTGCTCCTGATCTTTTACTGGTCGTCTGGAACTGTTGTCCCAACGGAATTTGAGAGTGACAGGAATAGAGTGCACTTGTATCTGCGTACATATTTGTGCACTATAATATCTTCTGCGAAGATGGCTAATTTTATAATTAATGAGCTTGGCCGACGTGGCCGAAGTCGGTCAAGAGGACATTACTTTGACATGATACTAGTACAGGTGCTCCAACCCATAAAAAGTAAATGGACAGCGCTAATTCGGGCTATTCTTACGGCTACTTTGTCTGATGTGAATAGATAATAGAGATCGTTAATCCGCAAGCTGTCGAACTATTTTATTTGAAACCATTGCAAAACTCATACTGTGTTTAATTAATTAAACAAATGACTTTAAATAGTTTTTAAGCGTGGTAAAAAACTCATAAAAAGAAAGCGCCATCTGTGAATACGCACTTCAATTCACAATCTAATTTCAGATTTTTGATAACCATTCACGAGTGTATTATTTCGTTATAATATATTAATATATTTTTTAAATCATAACATACCTTTTTGGAATATATCAATTATAATTTGTTAATTTTACAAAAACTTAAATACAAAATCGATACATATAGTAGTGCCATCTATTGGCATTTATTTGAATCAATTTTTCTTTGCTCCAAATAGGGTCTCCATCTCCATGATGTTGTGAATATAAAATTATGTCACCAATATTAGAACAGGGTTCAATCTCCTTGCTCTCGGTCAAAATAAATCTTGCTAAGAGTTGGCAATAAATAAATGTATATGTAAACTTAATTAAAATTAAGCCTATAGGCATGTCGTGTCATTAATGAAAATTTGAAGAAAACTTATATAAATTTACATTTTTCCAACATTTTTGAAGTGAAAACTTTAGGCAGGTTATATTGAAATGTATATATGTAGCAATATATTCTATGGGATTAAATTCATGTAAGTCGTCATCGACATGGTCACGTAACGTGTTAACGCTAACACTCTAGAGTGCCGATAGATGTCAAAACCAGATAAATGTAAACAGTTTTAATTTGCAAATTTTAATTTAAGATCAGACAATTAATTTGAATATCCAAAAAAATCTGTTTGTTTATAGTTTTAAGTTTTCACTTCTGTCGGCAGTCTTCGAGACATGTTTTATGTACAGTAATTTTTCATTTCGTTTAGTTTTAGGTTTCTTCTATAAACAGAAAGTGTAATAATGTAGTAAGCGTGAATGTTTAATATGATAAAAAATGAAAGTAAAATTGGGACTTCTCGAACAATTTCTTTGATGTTTAATATTTAAGAGAAAGTTCTTTTGGGAATAATTTACTTTTTGTAATGATTTCGCGACAGCAGCTTGAGTAAATCGTTACATCTTAATTATTTTTAGGCGATCGCATCATACTTTCGACCATTTTCTTATATGTATACCATAATGAATTAACTGAAAGAATTAAAATATTCTATGCTCAAAGTAAAATGAAAATATCCTATGCGTTAAACGGAGAGCTTAAGTTGAACATTTAAATCCACTTAAATGAAATGAAACCTTAATCAAATCATTTACTGTAAAATAAAAAAACAACATTCGATTCATATATGTAATAAAATAGTAACTTAATGAAATCTGTGCATGAAATATTTTTTTGAAAACAATAACTGTCACGTATTCCTGTATTATAGACTCCGAAATAATAGTTATTAAAAATTTTGTCTGTACCCCTGTTGTGTGTATGTCTGACTCTATGGCTCATGCTACAATGGACCATAACTGGTCGACGTAGCTAGCTAGGGCCGACCTCGGCACCACATCCAAAAATAAATAATAATAATACATGTGTTACTAAATTACGTATGTTTATTACAAGAAAATCTTTCATTCTCTCGGGAAAACATCATAACCAACTCTGTCGAAAAGAAAGAGAAGAGTCCTTAGAAATATACAGAGCAACAGGGATAAAAAAAATACATATCTTAAAACTATAGATTTCTATTTGGATGTGATAAATATCCTCTAAATACTTTCAAAAGAAAATTTACTTATATGACACTTAGGAAAATGTTTGACCTAGTTACAATATATTATATTATTATCATTGATTACATAAGGATAAATTAGTAACCTGTCACTATCAGTGAGATCTGGTAGGAGCGTTATCGTTTAACATTGCGTTTGAAACCTGACCAGCGTTAACACGGTAATAAATAGACTTTTCAATAAACATAAGAAACACATGACAAATAATCCCGGCGATATTTTAAGTATAGTTATTTACAAGATGATATAACTTTTTTAAATATTGCGTTCCATAATAATCACTACATGTATTCAGCCCTTTTTTAACGTCCCACTGCTGGGCACGAGCCTCCCTTCAGCACGAGGGGAATCAGGTCATAGTCCACCACGCTGGCCAAGTGCGGGTTGGCGGACTTCACATGTCTTTTGAAAACTTGCTAGGTTTTCTCAGACATGCAGGTTTTCTCACGATGTTTTCCTTCACCGTTAAAACAAGTGGTAATCATGTTGGAAATGAATCGCACATGAAAATATCAGAGGTGCGAGACCCGGGATTTGAACTCACTTCATTCGGTTTCCCAAGCGAGCGCGTTACCACTGGGCTACCACTGCCTGATCACTACATAGTATAAAACAAAGTCGTTTCTTGCTGTCTGTCTGTACCTATGTATGCTTAGATCTTTAAAACTACGCAACGGATATTGATGCGGTTTTTTAATAGATAGAGGGATTTTAAGAGGAAGGTTTTAATACATAATTTGTTAAGTTTTTGTATAACATTGGCTAAAATATAACGATATTTGTTGGAGGATTTGTTGGAGGAAAAAAAATAAGCCGTCTGTGAGATTTCAACGAAAACGCTGCCTGAACCCTTTGAGATACAACAAAATAATGTATGGTGGAATTGTGTATTTTTTTATAGATCTACAGAAAAGTCCGCGATGGCATATATCTATTTCTTAACGATAACATACTATATCCTTTTTAATTTAAAACGTACCTAGGGACGAACCCGAGCGAAACAAGGGTGAGTCGCTAGTTATATAATAATTACATAATATCATATATTATATAAAAACATAATAGGTTAGTGTAATTATTAATTACAAGATGATATTACACACTATTGATATATAATTAGTTGCCACTACAATGTATCTTGCTTCTTGAATCACTTTTATTCTTTACATACTAGTTACATAATACGTAATCACAAGTTTTGTTAGAAAAATATAAATTATTTGGTTTAGTCGCAGTAAAACGCTTCAAAATTATATTCAATGATATTTATTCACATGCCTTTTTACATAGATATAATACATTTCAAGCCTTAAATAAATTAATGAGTGCTCGCCTGCTCCGTGGTATCACAGTCCTAGTACTCTTGGAGTCATATCGTACTCCCTTATTCTACTCTTATATAAAAAACATTACTGAAAATGATGAGATGAGAAACACTTGAATCTTACATGTAGCCATTATCTAATTATAGTTACGAAAGCACATAATATCGCGAAAATACAACAAGCCACGCTTACTTCCATCGGTCAATTTCTATGTTGAACTAAGAAAAGATACTGGACCGTAGAAATACTAATCAGCTGTAAATCCTATGCAAAATATTAAATGTATTAGAAATAATATATATATATATATATATATATATATATATATATATATATATATATATATATATATATATATATATGTATTGAGTAGACCATTCAATAAAACAGTGAAATAAAAGATAGGTCATAAAAAAAAGAAATAATAAAAAGTATTGCTTGAAAAAAAAAAGAAATTTCGTATCTTAGATAGCAGAAAGAAATTATAATGGTATATTTTGAAGTATCTCAGGTTGTATAGGATCGGACGTTTTTACTTTATAAGTCGAGAGAGAGCATTTTGTCAAATTACGATACAGTAGCTTTTCTTAGTTGCGTCATTTGAATGAGATCAGTAGTGGTAACCTCCTGCACCTCCGTTCCCGGAACCGGAACCGCCACCAAATCCGCTTCCACCAGAACCAAATCCGCTTCCACCTGAGCCGCCAAAACTGCCGCTTCCTGACCCACCGTTGTAGGCTCCCTCACTAAAAAGAGCATTTCAAAATAAATTTATAATTCTTACTATAATAATATAAATGTGTGTCGTAAGAAATATGGGATCAACTTTCTTTTAGATAGAGATTTTGTATAGTGAAAAGGCCTGTTTGTCTATTTTGTTATTATGGCACTTAAAGTGGTTTCTATAGGGTAGTTTGCCTTCTGTGAAGGCAAACTACCCTATAGAAACCACTACCTAAACAATAAACCACTAAACACTAATAAACCACCAAACCCACTAAACAATAAACTACACTGTAGTGCGTATGCAAGCGATACTATAACGTCCCATGACGATAGGATATCACGATAGCTTTTAGTGTATAAGAATCTTTTCACATTTCCCTGTCTATTGACGGCCAGCAGGGACCCCATGATGGGTTTCTCCACTGATATAATACAAAAAAAGATAAATTTGTTGCAAGTAAATAGTAGGCATGTGAAGTAAGAAGGTAAATAGTTCTTATTTAAAATTTGGTTCCGGAAATTAACATATTTTTTATTACTTAACTAACTTAAAAGAAAATCTTTAAATCTTATTTATGACTGGAAATATTCTTGTGTGGATATTATAGTTGCATAAAGTTTTATTAAATTTTGCAAGTTTACTGCGCACACGAAGCGGCGGATGCAATGTTATTATTTAACTTTTTGCAAGTGCATATTTTCAGTACAAAAATTAAGGTGCTCTTTTGTCGTTATTTTAAAGTTGAAAGTATGTTAGTTTTATAAAATAAATTTAACGTCTTCAGCTTTACGTTTTTAACGGTCTATTAAGATTCCTGAAAGGTTTAGAATCGATAAAAGACAAAAATATATCTATACATATAATAAAACTGTAACTATAAGCCGAATCTGTACATAAACATTATTATCGATACATAGGCCGAATCTATAGTTTTTAGAATTTTATAGAAGACAGTCTGTTACCGCATCACAGAAAAACCACTAGAGGGATTCTGATGAAATTTAGTATGGTGATAGCTGGTTATTCGGGTCAACATATAGGACACTTTCTACCGCGGGAAAATGTCTCATTTCTAAGAAAAAATACAAAACAGCAATGTAAGAGTATACTAATATGTAAAACCTAAGAATTTGGTTTTTGGTCATCTGAACGCGGGCGGGGCCGCGGGCATAGCTAGTTAGGATATAAATATATTAGGATGAAAAATAATAAAATTTGAGATAAAATTAAATACGAAAATATAAATAAATATTCCAAATAACTTACGATGATGGATTGCGCCTGTTGAATTCGAGTGACTGTAAGATAGCTTCAGGGATAGGTGGGGGAGTGGGTAGGTGGGCGCCAACGGGATGGAAGCCGTTTTCATCAGCTGTGTAGGTCAAAGAGATTTGCTGACCATCTGGGGTACGGTATGAGAAAGCTCCTTCTGCCGTCACAGCGGGACCTTCTGGGCCGGGAGCTCGGGGAGCACCACTTTCTTGGGCTGAGATGCCATTACCGGTTTCGTAGCTATAAAAATATATATTAAATGTTATATTTATAAATTATGCAAGTCTTTTGTTATTTCAAAGATTGTTTTACACTTTCTTCTTAGTGATACAGCTTAAAATTAGTTGCCGTTCTTTACCAATATTTTCACATCAGCTCTTAGATTAGATGTATGCAACATTACCATATTCAATCGGCCAACCCCAGACTAAAACTTTCTCTTACTTCGCAAGAACTCTCCTGACTTCCTTAAAGATTAATTGCTGTTTTGCAACAAGAACTAATTTTAACTAAAACGGGGAGACGATGATTTAATCATCAACATAATAATGCAACCAAACCGCAAGCTTCTGAAGTGGCTGCATGTGACATTATAGAGCAGGTAACGAGCTATTTCTATATTGACAGAATTGAGGTAATGTATGATTTTGGCGAGTTAACAGAATGAAGCAGCTAACAAATTAAAGAAATCAAATATATTTTAGTTTCCACAATGTCAAGTAAAGTTTAATTGGGTCAGTTAAATGCTTGAAGCGTGATCGCCTAACAAGCAGAGAGACAATCCCAACATTTGACTTTCAAATGGTTGAACTACAACTGCACAATGCCCTATTGTGATCATTCAACTGTTGCAGAAATTAATAATATCTTGCTAGGCCCATGCAATTGTTTGATATTTGATAAAAAGCTTCCGAGTCAAAGGTACTTTAACATTGTTTTAGTCTTTCATTGCTGAGAATAATATTATGTAAATGATAAAAACAAAATACAAAGACTTAGAGTACTAATATATTTTGCATATATTCTACTGCAAGAAAATAAAATCTATACTTATATTATAAATAGGTAAAGTTTGTGAGTTTGTGAATTGTGAGTTTGTGACGTTGTAGGGGATAATCTCTAGATCTACTGAACCGATTTAGATGAAAGGTAAGAAGATAATTTGAGACCCTGGAAAGGACATAGGATACTTTTTATCCCGGAAATCATCCCTTAAAGAGGTGAAAATGGGGATGAAACTTTGTATGGGGAATCAACCAAGGGACGAACCCGAGCGAAGCGTGGGTGAGTCGCTAGTACTATTATAAAATGCTAAATTCAAATTCGATAGCTTATTCGCGGTTAGCGCGAAATCTTACTGTGTTACTAAATAAATAAATAAGTTGGTACATTAACACACATCACCATCTAGTTCCATGGTAAGCTACGATGCCTGTGTTATGGATACCAGATAGTTGATATACTATACATATATAACTTTAAATATAAACACCCATGACTAGAGTACAAACATTCGTGCTCATCACACAAATGAATGCCCCCAGCGGGACTCGAACCCGCAACCACTGGCACAGCAAGTAGGGTAGTTAGGGGCGCTACAAACTGAGCCAAGCGTGTCGTCAATAGGTATGTGTATTTTACAAGCTGATTTGATTATATTCCTCTTCATAACTTGGCTTTTTTTTTTAATATTCTGTAAGACATTTTTTATGTTCTCACCTGAATACGCTATTTTCATTTCTTATTTTTACGTATATCATACGTAAAGGTAGCCAACGCTTGGAGTTTTAGAAAAAGAACACAAGTAATACAATTAGTTATTTAAAATGATTATGAGAACTCGTGTTTAATATATCAAATATTGATCAAAACTTAGTACCGTCATTGATTAACTGACTGACAGAAACTAAACTGGTGGGTATATGTATAAGTGAGCATAGTACTGCGAAGTAGATATTTATATGTTCTAACTATGGAATGATGTGAAATGGGATCCCCAATTTTTTAAAAGTTTAATATGAGAACTTCCGTTATTGACTATTAGAAATATATATTTTGTGGGCCGAAGCTTAAAATAAACATTATGTGGTATGACAACAATATAAGCATTATGTGCTTGTGTGTATGTGATGTGTATACATAATACATCAGGTTATTCTTCTGGTAAATTAATAAAATTCTTGAAAAAATAGCGGGTTACGTAGTGCGGGTCGTTAGTTCATTATTGAAACTCTTACCTGAATCTGTAAGTACCATCCCCATTGTTTTCGTTCTCGTAACGGAGTATGGGTATGTTTGCTCCGGCCGATCCACTCCCAAAGCCACTTCCGCCACCAAAACCGCTTCCGCCGCCAAAAGATCCTCCCCCAAGTCCTGCGTTGCCACCTCCAGCTCCTCCGACACCTCCCAATCCTCCCAGTCCTGCGTTACCTCCTCCTCCAGGCCTCGGAGGTAGATATTGTGGTTCTAGACGTCCACATGATCCCAAAGCCACTAAGGCCGTTATTAAAGTAATCTATGAAGATAAAACATAATTAATTATTATTATTGACAAGATTAATGATGTAAGAATATTTAAATACATTAGAATTCTAACGTCCTAGGAAATATAGTGTTATTTCCTATATAACGTAATGTTAAATTGAAATTTCTTAAAATTATATCTTAATTCAATTTATACAAAGGCATATTCATTTCGAGTTTTTAGTTAGTTCTGTTTTAAATGCCAATAAGCTACGAAGTTTGAAATCCGCGAAGAAAGGCTAACTTCTAACTACTCACGTTACGTACGTTTAACTTTAATATAGTCGCGAGATGAGTTTAGTGGCAGTTCAAGTCGTGATATTCCATAATGAAGTTGAACGAGATTATAACTTTAAGAATAAATACTACCACTCAGTACAGGTGTTAAAAATTCTTTCACTTAAATCTATATGTATACACACATAATAAAATTCTATCTGAGTCAAATCTGTACCTACGAGTATATTAAGCATTTTTTGGAAAATCTTATTGAAAAGTCATTATTATCAACACACAGGCCGAATCTATGGTTTTTAGAATTTTTGTCTGTCTGTCTGGGAACGCATCACGAGGAAAAGCACTGGATAGATTTTGATGAAATTTGGTATAATGATATCCGGGTTAACATATAAGATCCTTTTTACTGCGGGAAAATATCTCATCTCTGAGAAATCTATGTTAAACGTTAATAAAATATAAATAATAGCTAAATTTGGTTAATTTGGCTATTTTTTATTTAAATTTTCGCTAAAGTCCGAGGAAGATTCTTATGAAGAGAAAAATTGGAAAAAATGGCAATAAAACATCATTGCCGGAAAAACGTAAAAACAACATTTTCTAATCGGTCCTGTTACACACTTGATTTGACAGAACGAGATCTGTCGGGTCAGCTACTAGTTAATAAATACCTAGGAGATATAACTATATAATTCAAAGTTAGAGAAATGCGGTATCCAAAGAAAAATCATAGAAGAGTAATTTACGTGAAAACTCCTAATTATGCCTATAAGTGTGTCCTTATGAAGACGAACTTAATTGTTAATTCGTATAATTTTCCATAGATACATTTTTTTTTAGAGAATCATATATAATATATTTTTAATATTATAATTAATGATAATATCAATTATAAAATTTATAAATTAATGAAATATCATAAGAGAGATAGGAAAACGACACATTAGAGAGAAAAAAAAATCGTCATATGTATTGTAAAAGTTACATGAAAATTCTAGTTTAGTCTTTTGGGTAATTCACTTACCTTTAGATAATACATATTATGATTTTGTATATGTATGTACAGGCAGGCACTCTTCGTTCAGTTGTTTGCAGAATACTGTTTGCGAAGATGTGCCTCGTTTTATATTGCTCCGATTTGCCCTTTCGCGGTTGCCTCACCTTGTGCGTGCTATCGGTGAATCCGAGCTTCAGTCTTCGCCTTAGGACTCTTTAGACACTATACTATGCGGATTTCCTAAAAATATATTTTATTGGCCATGATAATTTTAAATATGTGCAATCTTACAAATTAATATAAAAAAATAATAATAAGTTATAGGTATATCAAAACTACTTTTTCCTTTTCGCTTACTACCAATATTCTTAATTTATAGTGCTCTATAATCTATATATTATGTACATTCATATCTCCTTACAATAAATGATCATCATAGGTCAATCAATTGGAATAATTTAATTAATTCATAATATATCGTCTCAAGGCGGAAATTTAGGTAGCATTCTAGTGTCATTCCACATGAGCACTCAATAATAATTAATTGTATGTCAGTCAGATTGGAAGGCAATAATAATAATAATAAGTGGATCTCACCTATAACTTTGATTGCCTTCTTACAATTAGCAAGACGTAGCATTAATTTTTCTTTTTTGTTTGTTTGCAACAGTGTATATATTCAGAAAATACTGAACTTTTTTTTCAAATACAGACTTTTTATTAACATGAGTTTGGTTTTTTCGTAAAATAAAATCATAGAAAATGTAATTTAAAAGTATAATTATATATTTTTTACATCATATTTTAAATTGATCATCAAAATATTATCTAATTATATTGGTCCTATACTCTTGTTTTATTATGCAAAGTTATATGTTGTTAAAACAACTAAGTACTACGAGGCATTAATGTATTAAATGTAAGTTATTGTCATATAATATTGTTAGGACGTTTGCTTAAGCTTCCAAAACAGGTGGATTCATTTTGACATACAAATATGTACCTATTAGTTACACCTAGTACATGCACGCCTGTGCACTGAAAATAATTATTGAAATCAGAATTACACAGCACATAATATTTTACTCATGAAATGTAATATTCGCTGAAATCTGAATAGTTTTATTTAACTTTATTGATTCCCCATACAAACTTTCGTCCCCATTTTCACCCTCTTAAAGTATGATTTCCAGGATAAAAAGTATCATAATATGTCCTTTCCAGGGTATCAAACTGTTTTCTTATCAAATTTCATTTAAATCGGTTCAGTAGATCCAGAGATTACCCCCTACAACGTCACAAACTCACAATTCACAAACTTTACCTCTTTATTACGAGTATATTAGTACCAATAGAAAATATTTTTTGTAAAATATTTTTTTTAAATAAAACTATCTTTTCGGATTATTTTGCGGATTTATTTTGATTTTTGATTCCCGACGTTAATCTTAAATCTAAGGAAGTATTAAATAAAAATTTATTACAGTCATTTCATAGATTGATATAATTCTGCTAGATGGTGTTTTGAAAATTCCAATTTTCTCTTTACAAAGTAGCAAAAAATATCGGTATACACATATTTATTGCAAATACATAGTTTTCCTAAAACATGTATGTACTCGCTACTTAAATATATGTCTCGCGCTAAAAATGAAGCCTGTATCTACGGCTAATATTAAGAGGCAATAATCATTATATTATTTACAAATACTAATTACATAAAGGTTATATAAGTAAATATCCTTTCAGATGCAAAGCATCACGTCCGTAACGTCATTCTTCGTCGATTCTCGAAGATTGGCTTTAACACATATTATTGGGTCGGGTGATAGGTTCTGGCCTCGGGTGTGAATATTGAGAAAAGATATTAGCATAATACACTCTGAAAACTTGTTATTAAACTGTTAGAACAACACGTGTATAGCTGCTGACAGCTTTATATTGAGTGGGTTTGTTTTTCCTGAACATATGTACTCAATACTTACATATAACGAATCCTTATTTAATAACATAAATCCGAAAATCTGTATTGATTTATTGTTTTTTTTTGTTTTTTTTTCTTTCAGTTGCATAAGTATAGTCCGGGTATATAATTTACAGACCTGAATGAGATACATATAATATGTACGTAGGCTATTTACTACTTATCTTACTATATAAAGTTTTCCATAGGATACTAGTCTTTTGTAAAATAGGAACTTAAGCTAATGATTCACTCGTTATAGCTCTGGTATAAAATACAAAGATAAACTTATGATATGCCTGAAGCAAAGTATGAATAAAAACAAAATACCTACGGTAATTTTTTTACGGTTCTAAAAACGTATTTGTATCCATGTTACTTACATCGGACGTTTGCGTTGGTGCTGTCATTTTCAGTAAGTATTCAATTTTTTTTTAATTTGAAAAAAAAGTTATTTTTTAATAACGGCTAATTTTTTAATCAACAGACGAATGTTACCGTCGTACCGCATTTTATTTTAGTCTTCCACGTTTCCTAACCCAAAGGTTGTCTAAAAGGACTCGCTAACGATAAGACTGCCTCCTGTGTCTCACATTTAGCTTTTATATGAAAAATTTACTTATTATACTTTTCTTTTTGATTGCTTGATTAACTTATAGCACATTAATAGATAGCTAAACCTATTTCGATGCGTATAGGGATAATGTAAAAATTAAAAAGGATATAGTTTACTTCTATTTATTTAAAAAAAAAAACATCTCGTTAGTTTGTATAGACGGAGTAAAATATGAAAAAAGATTCTTGACGTAGACGTTGCAAGAAGTTATATAGGTACATATTATGTATGTAGTGTTGTAAAGCCATTAAACTTTCTTCGCGAGCTTTAGCCTGTGGTTTAGAAAACAAAAAGTCTATTTTGAGCTGCAACTTGTCAAGTCCAACGTTTTTTAAGCATCGATTTTTTTAGACGGTAGCTTTCATAAGTCCCTATATATAATTTGTGGCATGTTAAAATCGGGGGGCACGGAGTGCCCCCGCCAAGTCGAGCAAAAAAGGGCACGACAGTACCATCCTTTTCTCGAAGCGATTCAGAGCATTTTCCACCCCCCCATAACTTCGTTATGGATAAAGCTAAAAGCCTGAATTTTCAGTGACTAAAAGAACATAATAAAACTAGGCATATTTCCAAATTACAGTCAATTTGAACCTGTAGTTTAAGAACTGTTGCAAATCAAAATTCGTTAATATCGTCACTCACACACTCACTCACTCACTCACCGATCATCAAAATTCTAAGGTACTTCTAGCAGACATAGGAGTTTCAAATTTTAAACACAATTAGTGTTTAGCCTATAACGCAAGGAAAAACTTAAACATCATGCAATTTCAATCCTGTTTTCGAGATATACAAACTGCATAAGTAACTTTGTATTCCTATACAAATAGATATGCGATATATGGGATTACAAAGTTATTTTTGCAGTTCATACACATCATTTTTCGTCACTTAAACTACCCAAATGTATAGCAGGGTAAATAGTGGATATGCTGTAAGTGTTAGCGACGACTAAAATGTAATTATCAATATTGTAAAGAGTTTTAAGAAATAATATATTTAATATATAAATTAAAACTTATATGTATAAAAGATCTTAAATATAAAAAAAATATACAAGTAATCGAACACTCGTGTGTTCCGTAGCGAGAGTCGCCCGGGGGAATTCGGGTGGTATCCGTAATAGGATTTCCCAACTATAAAAAAAAAAGTACAGAGCCCTCGGAGCGTTAGTTTGTCTTCTACTATATATATATTTAGTCTAGTAATGTTAAAAAAACACAGGAATAACTCATATATTATTTTATTAACTTAAATATCCAACTTAAAATATATCTTTCTCAGAGTTCCGTTTGTTATCACTAAGTATTTAATTTGTTTGTCAATTTCTCCACTTTAACGACGTCAAGGAACGCTAGAAGGTTTAGGTATTTTTTAAAATAATAGGTCACAATAACATAGCACATAATATAAATATTTTGATATAAATAAACTTCATCATAGCTTGCCTTAATTTGTGCCGTTATGTCAAACATAAATTTCGTTTAAAAATCATAAAATATTTTAATTAAATTTACACTATTTTTTCCTTGCATTATTTAAATTAAATATTATTTTTTCATTTCCCGATATCTTACTTTTATTTTTTTCACCTCATTCATATATTCTTATAAAATTTATAATTAATGGTAAATTAATTATACAATAGTTGCACTGTAAAAGGGGGTTAGGTTAGTGTTTTACCTGTAGGTATGTATGTTTGTACGTCCGATCCTATGTTCCCTCGTAATTACTAACCTAATTTCGATTGGTCTATTTATTAATGTTTATATTTGCAATTATATGTATTAGAAAAGTATTTTTAAACGCGAAAATAATATTTTAAGCTTTTTTAGTAGCTGTATACATTTTTATGCATATACAAATGGGTACATAAATGTAATGTGAAGCGTGTATAGTTTATACCTACTAATATTCGATTACTGTTATTTATAATGAATTGATTAAAATATATACCTAATTAAGAAACAACTTGACGATTACTTAATTTTGAAACAAAGCTCGTACATTTTCTTTTACAAAGTATGATGTTGATATGAATTAGAAAACCTTCTCAACATCTCATTGCTCGTAATTGTACCCACCTATTAGAACATGGAATATAGAGGTCATGAAATATCAATCTCTTCGAAAATTACTTTTAAAATGGAATGGAATACAACTTTCGGGATTTAACTACGATGCTGCTAAATCTACACGTCTTATTAAACTTATGTAAGTCGAATATCAGTATCGGGGTAGGTATTTAGGGTCAACAATGAAATTAAAATATTCGTTAAATTAACTATACATATTTATACTTAATGCATAAGATAGTAGTATTAAAGTCCAGGAGTCCGTAATTTCCCAATACAATAGACTTAGATTTTTTATCATCCAGACTTGTCAAAATTTGTTACCTATATCAAAGCCTCTGAAAAAAGCCAACAGAGACAAGGAGTGGGCTTTTAAAAAGTCCTTACC